AGTGAGACTTTTCGTTCTCGTATGTGGTTCTACTTTACCCGCCAAATGTGGTCCGGTCTACTTGTAGAATATTTGTAGTACAAATGTCCGTTTCATACATCTTTAACGCTCACACGCCACGAGAAATACATGTTTATGTAGAAAAAAAAAAATACATGTTTATATTTATTTATGATCTCAATGGAAATATATGCGAATTTTAATTTATGTGATACCACGATGATGGATATTAGCAAAATTATTAGATTATATGTCGTGATCCAGAATTCCATATTTAGAAAACCGCATATCAAATATCTTGTGATTTTTAGACGCATTTTTTTTCAATATAAAACTAACTTGGGTGGTTTTAATAATATGATCGAAACTACTTGCACTGGTAAAGTATGTTAACCAACCAAAGTAGGATGAGTAGTTGTTAGGCTACTTGTGTTTGTGGCAAATTATTGATACTATTTTATGGGAGGTGGGCGCTATCCTTCAGATGCTTAGGTTTTTTTTTTTTGTTTCAGGATCATAGGATGTTTAATGTTGTATATATAGTTGTTGAAATAGTCTAAATTTGAACAGTAATTTTCTTTTTTTTTTATGTTTCAGGATCAGAGGATTATTTATATTGCTTGAGTAGCTTGTAAGTTGTAAGGAAATGTAAGCCATGATTGACCTGAAAGCCAAGGTTTGACCTAGAAGATTAAAACCCTAATCAGCGCTTTCGAATTTCACAAGAATATAAGACTTGGACTATACCAAATATTCAAAAGGAACTCGTATTCCATATTATCTTGTTTTGAACATAACTAGCTGTTACCGGTCCCGACTCTAGTAGTTTATATATTTGTTCGAAAGTGTCCTAATCTAGTGTTATTTTAAAAATATTATGTACTGTAGTATTTTTCTATATAACATCTTTATTTAAAATAAATAAAAAAACATCTTTATTTAAAATAAATTGTACTTATGACGTAGTGTTAATAAATGTTGGACTTTTATAAAATAACAAATTAGTATTGGCTTAGCTCTACTAGATTAAATGTTGGTTTACTTACTAATCCTTCGTCTTCCTCCTCTCTATGCTTGTTAGGGATTTGATAAGGAATCAGAACAATTAAAAAATAAATTATACGACTTTGTGTTTGTCAATTAACATTTATCGGCATCGTTCGTTGATCAACTTTTGCATTCGACGTTTGTCAACGAAATTTTGTATCTTTTTTTCAAACCACGTGATATGAATTCTTTAAATAACTTAAATTGTAGTTAAATCAAGCATCCGTATTCAAATCTCAAATTTAAGTAAGCGAACAACATTTATAAACCTAACACATTTAATATCGATTCTTAAAAAAAAAACAATAGGTTGAGATAATTACGTTAGCAAGTGGCCACCAAACAATGCACAATATACATTCGATTGTACTTTTTTTTTAATGAAAATATTTTGATAGTACCTTTTTTGTAATCGAGTTTGTTCCTATATCAAATATACTAAATCTTAAACAAAACGTAGAGAGAAAATAAAGTCAAAAGACTTGGTTGAACGGGCGTGATTAAGAATAGTAGTAATGATCACAACTGCCCCCAACAAAAGTAAATAAATATACCACAACTAATTCATAACATTTAGACTAAACAATTACTACTACTAGTATTAAGAATTTTAATGGAAGAAGAAAAGTCCAAATTTGAATACTTTGAATGACGTAAGATAGAGAGAGAGAGTGGTAGTGGGGGAAAGGAATTATGAAAGTTGACGAGAAATTGAAGAAAACGAGGCGGCAGTGATAACGCGACACGTGGAAGTCTCTGAGCCCATCTGATCTTCCTACATTACACGAGATCCAACGGCGATTGCCGCAAAACGAAAACAAATGTGAATTTTGTTGGCTCTTTTGACTTTTTTTGTTTGTTTTGTATATAGAATTGTAGATACATAAATGTCTTATACTCTTTTATTAGCCAATAATAAGAGCCTCTCGATCGACTTGCTTAATTAGCCTAACCCTAGTTTTTCTGCATGTAATAAAAGGAAAGTCTCTTCTCGTGCGTTTTACTTGATTCACGCGTTAGCCCACGCACACGATTTGAGGCATATACTA